CCCCCCGCCCCCCGCATGTTTCTTTTCCTTTTTTTCCCAACTGTTGGGAAGTTATAAAAGTAATGCAAACAAAATCAATCCAACAGCAGAACTTTAGACAAAACACGCTTCTAAACAACAATGAATAATTTTCTTTCCAGGGACAAGTAGATACGATATCTGATTTCTGCAAATGGATGACCACAATCCTTAGAAAATAGTGTTATATGTACATATAATCCCGAGGGATAACTATATAAGTATAAAACCTAGAGTATAGCGAGAATATACCAGAACTCGCATTTCCAGACAGCTCAATATTATTAAAAACTGTAGATTAATGGAGTGAAACCTCGGTTGAAACCCACGATGCTAGATATATATTAAAGGGATACAGTTACAACCAAAGTAATTGAACATAAATTATGAATGACAAAATCATACTTTTGTTACCTAATGATAGGCAAAGCAGCATCAATTTCATGAAGGGCATTGCCCCGGGGGTGCCAGAATGTTTTTTTCCTAAAAGTGGGTGGTTGGCCAAATTACTATGGGAACCAGAGGTGGAGAACTCATTTTCCGCCAAGGGCCATTTGAATATTGAAACATCATTATCGGACCATACTGCTCAAACGTTGAATCACCCCTAAAAGGAACTGTGTGACATGGTTACACACAGGGCTGGTACCTGCAAGGTCCTCTATTCAAAACCGCCAGCAGCTCTTTCGGAAAGAGGTGAGTTTCTGTACTTCAGTAAAGAGTTACAATCATGAGGTGTTCATGGGATCAGGTATCAGGCATCAAAGACCCAGAACAAAAAATCATATCTATGTGATTGAGGGGGAGGGCATAGTGTATACCCAAAGCCCATCTGTAGACAATTGGACCTCCCCTCACAGAAGGGTCACAAGGAAGAGATGAGCCATGCAGCGTGCAGTATAGCACCGGTGAAACACAACTTTCCTCTAGTTCTTTAATACTTCCTCCCCTTCACTACCATGACCCCAATGCTACCTTACAAATCCGACTAGACCAGAGCATGTACAGGGGTACAGATAAGAGCTGGAAACCCAGGGAACCCAGGATGGATAACCCCCTCAGGACTGATAATGAGCGTAGCGATACCAGGAGGGAAACAGGAAGGTTGGGGGAGAAAGGAACCAATCACAATGATCGATCTATAACTCCCACCCAGGGGGATGAATAACAGAAAAGTGGGTGAAGGGAGACTGGTTGGTGTAAAACATGAAAACAAAAAATTTATAAATTATCAAGGGTTCATGAGGAAGGGAGGGGAGAAAATGAGTTGATACCAAGGGCTCACGTAGAAAGAAAATGTTTTGAAAACGATGATGGCAACCTATGTACAAATGCGCTTGACACAATGGGTGTATGGATTGTGATAAGAGCTATAAGAGGCCCCAATAAAATGATTGGAAAATAAAGAAAATGTTTTGAAAACGATGATGGCAACCTATGTACAAATGTGCTTGACACAATGGGTGTATGGATTGTGATAAGAGCTATAAGAGGCCCCAATAAAATGATTGGAAAATAAAGTTACAGTCTTGGAACCTCCCAGGGCCAGTTCTGCCCTGTTCTAGAGGGTCTCTGTGAGTCAGCCTCACCTCAATGGCAGGGGCTTTGGGTAATGTACTGGGCGGAACTGCTACCCTTTCTCCGAGTGGGGGATGTTAGCTGAGACTGATGA